TGGACTCCAGTCAAGGTGTAGAAACAGCTCAGCAATGATCAAGAGAAATGGGAGGCACCTGGGCTAAATTTCAAGTGTTGTTGCAAAGGGTCTGAATACTTATGCCAATGTTATATTCCAGTTTTTCCTTTTTAATAAATTTACAGACATTTCTAAAATTCTGTTTTCACTTTGTCATTATGGGGTACTGAGTGTAGATTAATGAGAAAAAAAATTGAACGATTAGTAGTATCAGACTGCAACATAACAAAATTGAAAAAAGTGAAGGGGGTCTGAATACTTTCCAAATGCACTGTATATCGAACGATTAGTAGTATCAGACTGCAACATAACAAAATTGAAAAAAGTGAAGGGGGTCTGAATACTTTCCAAATGCACTGTATATCGAACGATTAGTAGTATCAGACTGCAACATAACAAAATTGAAAAAAGTGAAGGGGGTCTGAATACTTTCCAAATGCACTGTATATCCTTGCCATGTGACCTTAGCTAAAATGGTAAATATTTCTGGAAAGTTTTATATATTCATGAAGTGATAGACAATGGTGTGCCAGGAAAGGCAAGAGATTGTTTTGATAAAGGGAACTGTCTCATACAAAATATTTGGGTGTCTAAGAGAGAAGTGGGAAAGGTGAAAAGTTGAACCCCTATTTTTGAAAGAATATGAAAGCAAATATACCTTTATGACTGCATCTTGTTATTTACTGAGTATATTAGCATAATTATTATTATAATTACTGTTCATATTGGTGAAGTTCCTCAAAGATACATTTGAATAAAGTTGCTTAACCTGTACAACTAGTAATAATAGTATTCATTAATAAAAGTTATCATCAAATTTAAATATGAAACAGGGTGAGCACAGTTTGTTTTTTGTTAACATTATGTATATACTCTGATCCAGATAGAAATATTTAATACACACACACACACACACACACACACACACACCTTTTCTCATTAAATTGAGTATTTGGAAAGAAGCAAAAAATTATCCTCAAGGTATTTCTGAAACTGAATGTAATACAAAGTTCATTCATAAATCAAAGTTCATTCATTCAGCACTCAATATTCTGAATACATCAGTTTCTTTTTCTTAAACCTGTCCCTTTCAAATACTTAAGAGACTGTTTCTGAGGGTGCTCCCCTGGAATTCTATATCTTTTACCTCTTAATTTTGAAGACATATTTTGTAAAAAATAAAGAGGGCCTTGGAGGAGACACCATCAAAATCTCTGGGGAAGCATATGCAGCCCAGTATCATGAAATCCTCATTTTCATCTGATGGCACACACTATATAATCACATAACAAGTTCCTCTGAAAATTCTGGATCCTCCTTGACTTTATTGTGACCTACTTTTTATGAAGTAGAACATGGTATAATGACTCACTATTTCTCCCTATCCTATAAACTGCTGGGTAAGTCATACTACCCTTACCATTTACACTGATAGTGAACAGTCCAGTCCTTGAAGCTCCCCACTCTACATTGTATGTAAAGTACTGTATATAAAGCATCAAGTATCTTGCTCACCCATTTTTTTCTGATGGCTAAGGTTAGGATAAGCAGCAACCCACGTTAGCTATCATTTGTTTTCAAGATTCACTAGGACCATGTTTAAGAAATCCTGCACATTTAATTATAGTCCTCTGAAGGAAAAATGGACAGCCACTATTTTTTACCTTCTTGTATGAGATGTGGTGATGATGCTATCTGACTCTTGTTCGTTAGAAGTCTATTAAGAATTGCACTGTCACGGGTACAAGACCGGCTTCTCTTGTCTGCTCGAACTGCTTCCACAATGGAACGAACTTGGATGCGCAGTCTGGGGGATTTTTCCTAGGAAGAAGGCCAGACCACAAAAGTTACTTACTAGAAGACAGACTAACTACTCAGTGATTCAGGCATTATGTATATTTCTTCTCATATCAGGACAAGCAGCCAAAACACACTAAACTTCATTTAGCAGATAGAAAGTTAGGGTAAACATGGGACTAGCAGACATACAAGTCAGAATACAGATGAACCATAGAGCTATAAGGTGGGTGATAAAGATAAGAAATCCCTATTTGTATCTGGTAACACATCTGTACACCAGTCCCAAACCTGGACAAATGGGAAGGGCTGGAGAAAGACCTGATGTCCTATTCCAGTATTATCACCAAAGTTATGGGGAAAAAAATTCAAATAAAAGTTTGAAGATGATACCAGAAAGTTGGACTTCCAGGCAAGAAAGTATCAAATGTGCTATTGAGGAAGATCAACATGTTACAAGTAGTCTAGGAGATAATGGCACAGCAGGAGAAACCCCCTTGAGAAGCCTGAATGCTAATGAAGCCTTTGATGAAAGGAACCATCTGTGCTGGAAGAAAATGAACAAGATTGAATGACTGGAATTGGAATGTATGAAGTATGGACCATGAGAAGCTGGATATCATAAAAAAGAAATGTCAAAGATCAAAATAAGTAGATCAACTGGAGTGAGATCAACTGGACAGGAAACAGTTACATTCAGTCAGATGAGTTTACAGAGTACTATTCTGGAAATGACAACATCAGAAGGAATGGAGGAGCCCTGATAACAAACAAGAAAATCACCAAATAAGTTGAACACTTCCAAATACTAAATTACAGCATAATGCCTGTTTGAATCAGAGCAAAACCTTTGAGTGTCACAATTTTCCAAATGTATGCACCAACAGATGCATCCAAAGAAGAAATAGAATAATTCTATGCTAACATTCAAAAAACACTACAGAAATGCTGAAAAGATATACAGAATATAGTATACATTATGGGAGATTTTAACCCCAACATTTGAGAAAAAGAAGCAGAAATTGTATTGTCGAAGGCTTTCATGGCCGGCATACGTTGGCTGGTGTGGGTCTTCCGGGCTGTGGGGCTGTGTTCTGGAAGTTTTGTTTCCTAACGTTT